ATGCCACAGGAACAGGAAACTTCCAGGCAGGGCTAGAGGGTATAAAAAGACCATCTGCCCATGTGCTCACTCTTTTTTCTTCTCCTCTGCTGCTTATCTGTCTTCTGCAATAAACTGTAACCTTCTTCCCAAAGCAGTCGCCATGTTTGCTTATTTATTCCCGGCTTGGATGAACCAGGATGAAGACTTACTTCTAACAGGGACCTCTGCTCTAAGGCACAAGATTTTTTTCATTTTGCAAAAACGAATCAATGCAATTTTTCTCCTTAATATACCATTTACATTCACATTTTCTAAATGCTTCAACCCCTTTCAGTCCTATTACTTCAGATACCTTTCTACTAATCTGCTCAACATTATACTAGAAAAAAGACTGGCCTAGGATTGAGACCTATAGCACACTCTACTAATGTACAGAGGAACATTTACTTCCCTAAAATTCTACTTTGACTAAAGTCACCCAGTGAGTTAATGACTTTATGGTTAATTGTTTTTACTATTATGGGTTCAAAATCACTTGTTTGTTTCCTGCAATTCTAGGTCTTTAATGGCCTTCTACAGTTTTATAGCATAATATAGATGCTAGTCAGGAAGTCTCCTTGACCAGGTATGAATGACAAGGAAGAGCTTTCTTAATAGCTCTGTGCTGACAAGTCTCACATCTTGAGAAACCAGTCATTGACCTGCAGGCTGTGTTAGTATGATTCTCCTGGCTGCTCTGAATTCTTGTGGTAAGGAGGCCAGATTCTTCCCCCCAGCATTACATCATGAGTTTGTGATTAAAAATCATGAGCATTGAAATTTTTGCCTTCTTTTTCAGGCATAATTGTGGTTCAGCCCTTGTTCCATGCTAGCAGCTTCGAGTTAATACTAATTTGAGTATTTGCCAGCAATTCCACAAAGTCACTTTATTAGTTTGTGTCCTCCAGTCAGGTGATCCTGGATGATGTGATATACATGCTAGTTTTGTGACAGACTGCATTGCTCTCTACTTTTATGTCTTTCTAAAGAATAGTAGCATTACATCTACATTTTTCTTATAAGTGCTATATGTATTAATAGCTCAATAATTCAAACTAGAAATTATGTATGACTTTTTAATTTGTACAATATGATGGAAGTGGGTTCACCAACTGTAGTTTGGAATAGATGCCAATCTAATCTGCTCTTTTGGGAAAAGACTGAGGCAGAGGAAATGGCACATTAAAAATGGTGAGCCACATCATCCAGCCAAGCTCTTTCCAAAGTATTTTCCTTGATTCTATTTATTTATAGATCCTTCCACTGGATCTGTGATATCAATTATGGTGTCTAAGTTGACCTGCCATGAACTATATATATAAAAGAGCTGTGGTGGCACAGTGGTTAGAATGCAATATTGCAGGCTAATTTTGTCAATTGCCAGCAGTTTGATCCTGACTGTCTCAAGGTTGACTCAGCCTTCCATCCTTACGAGGTCAGTAAAATGAGGCCCCAGATTGCTGGGGACAATATGCTGACTTTGTAAATTCAGAGACTGCTGTAAAGCACCATGGAGCAATATATAAGTCTAAGCGCTATTGCTATTGCATGCGTCATCAAGTAAAGCATGGGGTGCCTCCCAAGATCTTCCCACCCCACAAACACCCCATGCTCCACTTCCCATTCTTTGGGTCCCCACAGGTCTTTTCCCCATATGTCCATTGCCTCCCCAACTGGGTCTCTGCAGGTCTTTTTGCATTTCTGATATATCAAGTTTGGTTGGTTTTCCAGAGGAAGGGGCAGAGGAACTATGTTCACTGCATACATGCTGCCAAGATAAAGCACACACAATTTTTAAAAATTGATTACATGCCATCAAGTTGTTGTTGACTCCTAGCAACCACATAGATTTTTGTCTATGACAATCTCTAACATGGTCTTTCAGGTCATTCAATAGTGGAGACATACTGGATGATGGCCAAATGACCTCCAAGCCAATGCACTTGTCTTATTGTAGTAGGATACATACACAAGAACTCTTCCCCCCTTACAGGGGAAAACCTTAACAAATCTGCCAAACTTTAACACACTTTTATAAAGATTTATATAGTCATACTCAGAAAGATTTTAAGCCAGACCAGTATTTCTCAACCTTGTCAACTTTAAGATGTGTGGACTTCAACTCTCAGAATCTCCCAGCCAGGCTGGATGGGGAATTCTGGGAAATGAATCAATACATCTTAAAGTTGACAAGGTTGACTGTCTGACCCAGACATTTTTAACCAATCCTTCCCTTCCTCCACTTTGATAAAGAATGTAGATTCTGTGTTTATGCAAACCACTCAGCCACACGTTAGAGCGTTGGGCAATTGCAGCCCACGTAATTTCTTTCGGGTTCCTGTCTCCCACACATAGAGAAAATGAGGTAAATTGAAGTGTACCTTGAGAACATAAAGCCTGGCAATTCATATACTGTACAAGCCTTGCCTGAAGCTTTGTCAGTAATTGCTCTACGAGCTAGCACTTTTTAATTTTTTCTGTCCCGGAGAGCTTTCTGTGCGTTTCATATACGATCCTTCAGATGATTTCGGCAAGTTGATTTAGGAGACAGTAACAGGTACAGAATCAGCCAGAAACTTATCCTGAACCTGATCTTCATATGTCCCGTTATTCGGAAATCAGCCCGGGATGTCCCTGCCTGACTATTTGCACTGCAGATTTGCATCCTGACTCGTCAGGCTTTGTGCAGTCCACATTTATTTTAGACACTGTAAAACTAACGACTCCCGATTCTCGCCCCGCATTGATACCTGCTCTTCGGCCGGCATTTCCCGCCTTCTTCAAGGCAGAAGGAGGAGGAGCCGCGCTGTCGAAGCAAACCAATCGCGCGGCTGGTATGCAAAGAACTCAGGATCCGCGAGACTGTGGCAGGAGATCCGAGCCGACTTCTCTGGAGGGAATGCGGCTCCCCCCGAGTCGCTCGTTGTCTCTTTGCAAAGATTGCTCAGATGCTGAATAAAACAGTGAGTAAACAAAAGGCGCTGCGCTTATGTTGGAGCGGAAGACAAAGATTTGAGGACTCCGGATCCCTGAGGGCACCGAGGGATCTGTTTTGAAAGGAGCGGGTTTTGAAACCCTTCAGTCTGTTCCCTGGATCGGAGTGGCTATGATTGATTGGTCCGTTCGCTTATTCATTGTCAGTAAGTAACAGAATGTTTTTCCCCCTTTTGTTTTAATAATGATAAGATGAATGAGAAGAGTTGTTGGTCCTATCCCTGATAACTCGGAATTAAATTATTATTGTGGTTTATGAACTGTGTGAATAGGTTTGCCACAATTTTGCCAGGGAAAATCGGGGACTCTGCCAGGGACTCTGTATTCTATGATATTTCACTTCGGCATTGAAGCATTAATATGGCAAGGTAATAATAATAAGAACGAATATATTGCTTAATATTTTCTTTGCAATTTGACACTTATGGTTGGATACTCCAAGTGGTCTAGCGATTCTACTGTATAGTGTTCCATTTTCCCCTTCTTAGCAAACTTTATTTGGGGGAAAAAAAGACTCTGAATGGGCAAACATTCACAGGTGGAAGCTGTCTCTAAGATGCTCAGAAAATTCACTGATTTGTTAGGGCAACCACACAATAAAATACCATTTGCAATCCTGATTTCAATTAGTGATTAGAAGCATCAGATTCTTTGGGTGCTCTCTGAGAAACTCAACTTGAGTTTGATCTGGTTCCTAAACTCTGCTGAGTCATAACATGTATATTTGATTTTAGCCACTACAATCTATTGAAACAGGTTATAAAAAAGTGGTTTATTATGGTTCAATGTATGAACCCGGTCCTAAAGCCTATAGCTTTGTCTTGTCATTTGACAGCACCCAGCTGATCTTGGACTAGCTGAGGGTTGGATGGGAAATGACTAACTAGAAATACAGGTAGCCCTTGACTTATGACCCACAATAGGACCATAAAATTTGTTGTTAAATGATGCAGTCATTAAGTGGAGTATACAATTTTACAACTTTTTTTGCCCTAGTGTTACTGACTGCGACTTGTGACCTTCCCTGCTGGCTTTCCCATTGACTTTGTGTGTTGGAAGCCAGCGGGGAGGGTCACAAATGGCAATCCCATGACCGTAGGACATATCATAAACGTGTGACAGTTACTAAAGCACCCGAATCATGATCGTGTGACTGCTGCGACACTGCAACAGTTGTAAGTGTGAACACCGGTTGTAAGTTATTTTCTTCAGCATTGTAACTTTGAATGCTCAACTGTAATCAACTCTAATCATTGCAACCAATTCTACATGGGACAAACATCATGTCAATTAAAAACGAGAATCCATGAACACCAGCTGGCAATCAAACGCCACGATCCCAAATCCTTCATACCCATACCAACACCAAACAATACCAGTTTGATTGGAGCAACACAAAAGTCATCCGCCACGTTACCACCTGCCACGCACAGGAGTTCATCAAAGCCTGATGTTTCACAAGCAATTCCATCAACAGACACATTGACCTACAACCAGCCTACAAACCCCTCAGAATCCAAATCAACCGCACAGCTACCAGAGACAGCAGCCACCCTCAACCAACCCATGCAAGGCCCCCAGCCAGCACCTTCCAATGGCCCTGACCTGATGTAACCTCCCCACCACAAGACCCATTACAAGATTCCCACTGATGACTCACACCTGACCATCACAAGACCTGACTCATTACAAGATCCTCACTTGACACACCCACACCTGACCCATCACAAGACCTACTGACCACATGAAGCCCTTATAAACAGAAGAACACTGACATCCCCTAAACTCTGCTGAAGATGTTACCTAGCCTGATAACAAAATGTTTGGAAACCATCCCACAAGCTCAGAGAATGAACCTTCACCCTCAGAGTTAAGGGTATGTAGAGCTTTGTTGAGAGGCCCCTATTTGTGCTAACCTAGAGTTATCACATTGATTTCATTGGGAGACAGTAGGAAAATGATAATCAGTAACCAGAAAACCACCTCATATACTTACTGGAGAGAGAAAGATTTGAGAAGTGTTGTTGTTTTTATAGTAAATCTTGTACCTCTCTTGGGGTGGTATCTTAGACCAATTTGAAAAACTGAAGGTAACATTAGAGATTCCTTTAAATGTGATGGCACCTACATATCCATATGGAGAATAGCAGAAGTATATGTAGGAGTTGACCAGGCTGAGCCCAAGTGAGGGGTCATATGAGCCATAAGTCATATGTCCTGTGTCCAGTAAATATGACTTAAAGGTTTCACTAATGCTGCAGGCTGCATCAATGTAAACAAATGTAAACAATGTCCTGAATGTACAGATAAATACAGTTTTAGCTATTTTAATTAATCAAAGTTTCTGCCAATTTGGGAATGTGACTGTTAGCTCTTTGTTGGAAGAGCATAGAATCTTGATGGCTGGGGATGATGGGAGCTGTTGTTCAGCACATCTGGGAGCCACCAGTTTGTGAAAATGGTTGTAGAAATTGCTTGGATTCAACTTCATTTAAAAAAAATATCATTTTTATAGATAACAGATCCAATTGCTGAGTCCTCCATGAATACTGACAGATTGCATGCTTGAAGGTGTTCTTGAATGCAGAGCATTTCTTTCTTTCTTCTTCTTTTTAAATGTTTAGATCCAGAATGAGATGCAATATATTTCCAGAAAAAAATGGCTTTTTAGTAATAATTTTTTCTAGATCAAATTAATTGCATGTGGCCATATAGATGTGAATCAAATTGATAACATTCTTACTGCTTTAGCTTGACTATATGTGGAAGAGATTGCCTACAGGGGAGTTATTTCTTTGGCTTATAAATTTCATCTGGAACACCTTTAATGCCCACTGAATCTGGTAGACTTTTCTGAAGCCAGTCAGATGAAAATACAATAAGAGGAATGTGGCATGTTGAGATAAATTCAAGCTCAAGGAGGCTGTTCTGAGTTTATACCTTTGTGACACACTCCTCAAAGAGTTGTGTTTTTAACTGACAATTTACGGGGGCAGAAAAATCACCCATTTAAGAAACAATAAGCAACACTCAAAAGGATTATATAAAAATAGGTCAACAGAGGAAGGACCTGAATCAGATAATCAGGTTGCATCTATTTACAGCTTGTAGCTGTACATCTGCTGGCAAAGCCATAAAATATCTATGTGGCATGAGGTTAGATTCAAGTGAGCTTGTTGAACAAAGTGCATGACATAAATTAGATTTCAGTGAACAATAACATGCATTCTAATCAATTTTCCTAAATTATAGATGTTTAATCATACTGGGATTATAGTATTTCGTTTTTTGTAACCTAGTGAAAATACATGATGCTATAGAATGTTTTTATTTTGGCTTTGGACAATATAAAGTAAAAACATCAGCAATATGAAATTAACAATTCCAATATCTACAAATAGAATGCCTACTGAAAGTTGTGACAGATCTGAACATCTATTTCATTTGGATTATTCCGTAATCCTTAGGGCAGTGATGGCGAACCTTTTAGAGACCAAGTGCCCAAACTGCAACCCAAAACCCACGTATGTATCTTCAGGTGCCGGGTGGGCGTGGCCCATTGGGTGGGTGTGGCCCATTTGGTGGTCGTGGTTGTGGTGGTAAAGGCAGACTAGGTGGGACTAAAAAGTTCAATCAATCAATTCCAACTTTGCGAGATCTTTTTTTCCCCCCGCGAGAAGTTGAAATTGATTGAACCTTTTTTTTTTGCACACGATGGCGGAGGCCTAAAGCGAAAAGGTTTTATAAAACCCAGCTGAAGGCCTAGGACTGGGGCGACGGCATGTGTGCCCACAGAGAAGGCTCTGCGTGCCACCTGTGGCACACGTGTCATAGGTTCGCCACCACGGCCTTAGGGGATGATATGTTTAAAACAGAGAACCAGTTAGTTAAAAAGAAATATCCTATGGTAGTACCTTTGATTAAGAAACCAAGTCTAGTGGTAGAAAATTGACTGTGCTTAAGTGAACTACTTTGGGGGGGGGTGTCCTTAGTCTTTCATAGAATCCCCATCAGTTCTCAGAAACCCAGCATTTGAAAAGCCTCACTTTAGGTTATTGAGCTCTGAGAGTGAAGATCAGTTAAAGATAATTGTCTGAATCTTTTGTTAGAAATAGCTCTGTTTTAGCTGGATAGCTTAATAGTATGAATTGGCTTTGGTGTCAGCAATACAAATATTGATCCTGATTATGTGGCTTCAGCTTATCTTGATCTATTGGACTGACACTGAAGGTTATGTATCCATGTGTATCAGTCACAGAAAGGAGTTGCACTGATGATATTATTGGGATGACTTGGGCTGATGATATTACAGTGGTACTTTGGTACTCAATTGCTTTGAAACTGATTGAACTTGGTACTCAATGCATTTTGATGCAAAATTTAGTTCCGATACCATTGTTTGTCTGGTACTCAATACAAAGGTAGAACTTGTCAGTGTTCACTGCCTGGTGACTCAGTACATTATTCCTTATGGAAAAAAATTGTTTGGTACTCATCATTTTTGGTACTTATCGTGCCTCCTGGAACCAATTAATGATGAGTACCAAGGTACCACTGTATTCCTTCCTTTATCACAGCCCGCAGGGCAACCATCTCTACTCTTCATGATACAGCTATCAGAAAATCTGAGGAACAGCATCCATAACCATCTGTGTATGTGTGTCAAAATCTGCAAGATGGTAAGTGTGGCATCATAATCCACATTCTGCCCCTTTTGAACCTGTATTATACATATAACAAAACAGGAAGGGCTTGGATGATGAGGCTCCCTTACCTGTTTTAAACCTCCCCCCCTTCCACACACACAGTGTGGACATCACTGATGCTGAGCCAGAATTGTGTAAAGAGTGGGGAATCTGGGGGGTTATAGATCTAAAACTGAGGGGGAAGAACCAGAACGAGAGCTGTATAAATGAACTCACAAGTCAACAATTATTGTCCGGTAACTCAGAATTACAGTTGTGGTCATAACTCAAGGCATTATGTGACTGGACCTTATTTGTTCATCATTTTTTGCAGTGGTAATTACAAACAGCTCAGTTTTTAAATGAATGCTGCAGTTGTTGAGCAAATCCATATACCCAAATGGGCATATTTTTGCCAAAATCAGAAATAAACATTGGATACAGGCAAAAAAATTAGCAAA